CTGTTTAATTCTGGATTGTATTTCCAACTTTTAAAAAGTGGCTGAGATTGTCCAGGTATTCAATATATACATAAGAATGGTTTACGTCGTATCCTGTTTCTAATTGATGAGAAGACATAGAATTGAAACTTGAAAAAGACATAAGAACCCAATTTCTTAAAAATAACAAAGTGATCTGTACTAGCATAGCCAGGGTAAAGAAAAAAGAAAAAAAAAAAAAGGGAAGGACAACAGAGAAGGAAAAAAAAAACCCCTTTCCTTTTCTTATTTCCTTTCCCTAGTTGACAAACCTGCCAAATATCCAGGGCTTAAGAAATGTTTATGAGCTTTCTAGACTTTCTAACTCTGGTATTTCATGGCTCCTCACTGATTAGGGACATACATGTGTGAAGCAGCTCCATGCCTGGGAGACTTCAATGCCTGAGTGATCAACTCCAACAAGCAAGTTAGTTCATTTAGTTTTATAAGTTCAGGTTTTAAGGACTCTAAGTACCTTGCTCACCTGATACCTTACTATTTAGCCTGAAGTGACACTGGGAGAAAGTGACCCTCTGTGAAAGGCATCTTTGATAGTATATTGGTTTCTGTGAGTGGCAAAACAAAATCCACAAGAAACTCCAACAATCAAGAGGCCTGTTGTCCCCAGATGTTCATCATCTTTTGTGACAGTTTCTCCCCAGAAGTTTCTCCTTAGACTCTGCTTCAGAGTCAGTGAGATTTCAACTCTACTGGGGACTGTTTTCACTTGAGTTCTGGTTAATGTTTAAAGGGTTCTTACTGAATATTACTAAGTGTGTATTATGAAGTAGAATATACTATGCTACTTTATTCCCAGGTAATTTTCTTAATTATTTTTAATTTAAAATAAGCCTTTTAAATAAGTTAAAATTATGGAAATTTGATGAATCCAACTCCTTTCTCTCTTCCTAAAAAATTCAATATAAATCTGGAGATGATATGCTTGGGGTATTAGCTTCATTCATACATGCACTTATCACTCTACTCCAATTGCTATCTTAAAAAAAAGATACACAGCCGGGCAGTGGTGGTGCACACCTTTAATCCCAGCACTTGGGAGATAGAGGCAGGTGGATTTCTGAGTTCGAGGCCAGCCTGGTCTACAGAGTGAGTTCCAGGACAGTCAGGGCTACACAGAGAAACCCTGTCTCAAAAAAAAAAAAGATCCACAATTTATAAGTTACTCTTCTTGAAACATCAGTATACCAAGGCCATGTTTGTTCAGATTAACAAATCTAGTTGTGCCATCCATTTTAATGAGCAATGAGTATAATTACAGACAGTAACTTCAACAGAATGTTAGGCTAGAATTATTTTGTAACTTGATCATATTCACAGTAATTGTCATACAGACATAATAATTTTGCAAAGCAATGTAGTTATAGATGTACATTAAGAAAAATTAAAACAGAGGTGGTTTAATGTTATTTTGAGATATATAGTTGATATAGTTGATCTAATGCCAAACATTACTATGAAAGCAAACAGACAGACAAACAAAATCAGGCTGAGAATGATGATGTTTTTAAAAGTTACAAGTTGTTGGAATAGTTCCTAAAATTACATAAAACAAATCATTTCCATGAGAACTTTTCAGCAAAACACAAAGCTAAGCATTAAGGGACAACATATGTATTAGTACTAAAAGTCTATTTTCAAAGAAAGCAAAATTAAGGATGAACTGTTATTGAGGGAAAGTAATGAAACTGAGATTAAACTTCTGTGATCACTTAAAAAATCCTATCCATTTAAGTGTGAGTATTTCCTTGAATGCATGTTTGTATACCAGGTGTATGCACGGTGCTAGCAGAGGGCGGAAGAGGGCGTCAGATCCTCTGGAACGGAACATAAATGATGTTGTGAGCTGCCATGTAGGTGCTGGGAACTGAACCCAGGCCTTCTGGAAGACAAGTGCTCTTAACTGCTAAACCACGTCTCCAGCCCCCAATCCTTTTTATTTATTTATTTTTTGTTTTGTTTAAAGTACAATGTTTATTTGAATACAATGAATTTGAATACTGTTTTCCATAAAGCTGAAATGGGTGAGATGTTTGAATAGTTACAAGTAAGAGCCTGATTCTTCTGTTAAATTTTAGGCATTTTGATATGATCTTTTAGCTGATTTAGGTTAGGCTTTGAACTTTTCATTTTCTCAAGCTTGCCATTGTGTGATATATGGCACATTTTAGCATCAAATTTGCCATACGCAATAAAGATTGGGACCAAAAAAAACTTTAATATTGATTTCCCAAATTTTAACCCAGGTCTTTCAATTATTCAGTTATGTTGTTTGGGACTTCATATCTAATTGGTATTATTTTAATATTTAAACCAATAACTTATATAACTATAAAATTTAAGAAAAATTTTTAAATTTATCATTTTATAAGTTGAATGTCTAAATGATATCTTTAAAATGTCCACTACCAATCTCTATATTTTCTACTTTGCACTCCAGTTTTCTTACACATTTTTCGAAGAAAGTGATATAAACTTGTTTGCAATATGTAATGGAAAAACATTTTTAAAACTCTTCATGAAGGAAAAAACGAGGTTTGAAAAAATGACAGTTCATTTAAAAAGTTATTTTTAAAGTTTTATATGGTATTTTTAGATCTCATAGATGACTAAGATGAAAAAGGACTGGTCCACAAAAATCTTCAAAGCAGCAGAAATGATAAATGCTTAAATAACTGAATAAAGTTGCTACAGAAAGTAAAGAAAGCATTGGGGGCAATTTAACTTGCCTGGTTATATGTAAGTATCTGAATTCAATAATGGTCCACGGGTGGAATGCAAACAGTTTAAAAAGGTCAAGGGAGGCAGAAAGCTGTGGCAAAACAAGGGAGCATCAATTTGTTCTGAGTAAGGATGCTCTATGGAGCCCTGAGACCACGAGTAATGAAAGACTTTAGAGCATTATAATATGTGGCTTCTGGTTATAGATAATGATCTTATTAATATAGAAAACATTGTATAGCTACTGTGGGATTTTGTGTAGGGATTTGAACACTATAAAGCAATGGTTCTCAACTTGAAGGTTTTGACCCCTTTGAGGATCTAATGATTCTTTCACAGGGTATGCCTTAGTGCATCAAAAAACAAAGATATTTATATTGTTCAAAACAGTAGCAAAATGACAGTTATAAGGTTAACAACAAAAATAATTGTATGGTTGCAAGTCAGCACAACAAAAACTGTATTAAAGGATGCAGTGTTAGAAAGGTTGAGAACCACTGCTATAAATGGAAAATGAAGGCGTTTAGGAAGGTACAACTTTAAAAGGAGAGATGGATAGGACTATGACATATGTAAGAGATATATGGAAGTGAAATATGAAGGAGGCCATTGCTCTGTACTGTGAATATAATGAGATTAGCTGCTTGAGTTCCAGCCCATTCGCCTTAAAAGATAGATGCTATTCCAGAATTGTAAGCCAAATAACCCTTCCCCTACTAGGTTGTTGGTTTTTTTGTTTTGTTTTTTGTATGAATATTTATCACAGAAATGGAAATAAACCTAGAACACTGATGTTCAGGTATTTATGCTCTTTGGTAGTTAAACAAATGAAATGACATTCAGATGAAATTGGATATGACTACTGATAGCAGCTTTATTTATACTCGCCAAAAAGTAGAAACAGCCATAACAAGAAATGAGGGAATCTCTGGTCCACACTTTGTCTATGTATTGGATCCCATGAGTATTTTGTTCCCCTTTCTAAGAAGGATGGAGCAGAGACTGAAGGGAAGTCCATGCAAAACTGACCCACCTGGGGATCCATCCCATATACAGTCACCAAACCCAGACATTATTGTAGATGCCAAGAAGTGCACGCTGACAGGAGCCTGATATAGCTGCCTCCTGAGAGACTCTACCAGAGTCTGACAAATACAGAGGGGATGCTCACAGCTAATCATTGGACTGAGCATGGGGTCCCCAGTGGGATTCCCAATGGAGGAGTTAGAGAAAGGACTGAAGGAGCTGAAGGAGTTTGCAACCCCATAGGAAAAATAATAATATCAACCAACCAGAGGCCCCAGAGCTCCCAGGGACTAAATCATCAACCAAGGAGTACACATGGAGGGACCCATGGCTCCAGCTGCATATGTAGGAGAGGATGGCCTTGTCAGGCATCCATGGGAGGAGAGGCCCTTGGTCCTGTGAAGGCTCAATGCCCAGTGTAGGGGAATTCGAGGGTGGGAAGGCAAGAGTGGGTGGTTGGGTGGGGGGAACACCTTCATAGAAGCAGGGGAGGGGGAATGGGATAGGAGATTTTGGGGGTGGGGTGGGACTGGGAAATGGGATAACATTTGAAATGTAAATAAAGAAAATATACAATTTAAAACAATAAAAAATGAAATGAGAGAATCAGAACATATATTAATAAGTAAAAGATTGCTACCACATGATATTCTCAAAAATATCAAACTAGAGAGCACAGAGATCAGTAGTTGCCAGGGGCTAGAGCAGACAGAAGGATGAATAGGTGGAGCACTCAGGATTCTTAAGACAGCAAAACTATTGTGTCACAAGACTGTAATGATGCATATTCATCTTTGAACATTTGTTAAATCCCATGGAATGCAAAACCACAATTGTGAGATTTTGTACAAAGTATGACTTTTTTGTTTACTTTGGAGACAAAGTAATCCAGGCCACACCTCACAACACTGCTCCTGCCTCAAGCTCTCAAGTTCCGGAATTATAGGGGGAGCCACTACTTGTGGTTAAAGACAGATCTTTGATAAGTGTCTAGCGAGGTGGGTTTATCAGTTACAAATACCTCTCTGGGGTAGTATACTGATATGAGGCAGACAGTGTTCCAATGGGACAGAAAATATGCATGAATACTTTGTGCTTTTCCATTCAGTTTTGAGTGAATATGAAATTATTCTAGAAAAATCATCTATTTTTAAAAAATTGTATAAGATATGCATAAATGATATTTAAAATTTAAAAAATCAATCATAAAATAACCATCCATTTATAATAACATTTATGATTATCCAATGATGTTGAACATTTTGAATAATGAATACATAAAAACACAAAAAAGGTAAATCACTGTGGTGACACCCAACTATACAATGAGCTTGACTGTCTAGAGCAGAGTCTTCTTCATTTTCCGATGCCTCTTCTTCATGACATGGAGTGTGGAAGAGAGAGAAGGAAAAAGTGTGACAAGGAAACATTAGAGGAAGAGGGCTGGGGAGAAATAAAAGGGTAATACAGGGGCATGCCAGACAAAGGCCATGAGACTCACTACAACATGAAAGTAAAGTGGAGCCAGAGGACTAGAGAGTTCGCTTCTTCCAGAGTCTTAGGAGCTGCACCCATAAAGTCTCACCAGCATAGCTCCCTAAACATGAGCTGAACAGACATGAGCCGACAGACATGCTAAAGTGGATGGGAAAGCTAATGGGGGAAGAACACACCAACTGGTTATCCATTTGTGTTTGTGTGTGTGTGTGTGTGTGTGTGTGTGTAGAGAAAGAGGAGGGCAAAGACAGAGAGACATAGAGAGAGAGGTGTATAACAATACTAATAAAAATGGTGTCTATAAATTGGAAAAGGAGCAAGGAGGGGTATATTGTAGGGTTCTGAGGAAAGTGGGGATGATACAATAATAATCTAATAGGAATTTAAAAAATTATTTTTTTAAAAGGAAGTAAGTTGAAGATACTGGCAATATCAGAGAAGAGTTCACTGAAATTCTCCCAGTTATTTAATGGTTCCGATATATTTTTTTTGAAGGAGTAAAAAAATGTAATAAAAAAGAAAATCATAATAATTTTAAAAATGCAGCAAAAATGTTAAGAATTGTGTATATAATTAGTTGTTTCATCATCCGCAGGTACTGAAGACACCTACAAAGAAACAAAGGAAAATGTGAAATATTTGTTTAGTGTTAGTAATATCATATCATAAAGACACAGTAGTTCCCTACAGTGGGCTAATGGCCTGTGAAGGCCAATGAAGTACCAAGAGACCAGGGGAAGCTACTTGGGTGAAGCTAAATTTGGAATGGAGGAATGCATAAGCGAGAGATTAGTGTCCTAACTTCTTATTTGTGCTCCTGGCACCAAAAAGAAAAGCAGGCGCCCTTCTTGTGTTTTAGAAGATGCTTAGATGGGATAATACCATTCTTTGATGTCAGCAATCTTTGGTAAAAGGTCACCGATGTTTACTTTTAGCCCAGTCTAATGATATATCGGTCTCAGGTCTTGTTCATCGTTACCTTTGGTGGGAAGTGGCATGCATAATTATCGCTTGTGTTTCTATGTGTGTGTATTCCTCAAGGTTTCATGGCAAACGTTTTCTTTTTTAATTGTCATTTAATTGTCATTTAATTTTAATTGTTTTCTTTTTTAATTGTCTTTTTTAATTGTCATTACTCTCTCTTACTGACTTACCCTGAGGTTTGGGGACCAGTTTTCATTCTATTTTTAGAGATGCTGCATACTCTGAAAATGTCACTGTGCTTCCATGTAACACATATGCAGCTGCGGATATGCCTCAGGAAGTGGGGAAGAAAGCAGGACATAAGACCTTTTCCAATTATTTTTGTTTTCTACCATGACTCTTTTTCACACAACATCACTTGAAAACAGAGAGTAACCTCTCTAGGTCTTTCACGCAAAGATCTAACACAGATCTTCACCTACCTCCAAAGACAGACTGACAGGCATGTGCTGTGTCCTGATTGCCCGCTCTGTACTTCACTTAAAGTTCTGGTTTGATTTTATTGCACCTCGTCTAACTCACCATCTTTTTTAACCTGGTTTGATTTACTGCACCTCTCTAACTTGCCATCGTTTCAACCCTCTCACTTAGAGCTTCCTTATACAGTTTCAGAAAAACTTTTCTCTCCTTCTTTTCCCTCCTGAGCCTGTACAATAAAAATTCAATTAACTATCAAGTCTTTCCCCAAATGCTTATGCACTACAACCAAATTGCTATCCTAGATGACTTATTATTGGTTTTATACTGTCCTGTTTTCTTAGTATTTATCATTCTTTCTTTTATAAAACAAACTTCAATCTCTTCAGAAATGTTTTGTGTTACAGAGCACTCTTAGTACTATAAACATTTGTTAAAGTATTAGTTATTGACTGAGTAAATTTATTTTTTTTTTCTGCTCTATTGTCTACTGTTGTGGTGACCCCAACCATACAATTATTTTGTTGTTACTTCATAACTACACTTTTGCTACTGTTATGAATCGTACTGTAAATATCTGATATGCAGGATATCTGACATGTGTTCTCTCTCTCTCTCTCTCTCTCTCTCTCTCTCTCTCTCTTTTTCTCTCTCTCTCTCTCTGTGTGTGTGTAGGTGGTCACAATCTACAGGTTGAGCACTGCTGTGTTAAGAGTATCATACAACAGAACTAACGTATATCTCTCACTTGCCTTGAAATCACTGCAATCGGAGATTTACTTACCTTCTCTTCCAAGTGCAGCCCTGAGAGCCGCAGATAAGCCACAGGTGCGAACGCATCAGCTGAGTGGATGACTGCTTCTGAAGAGTCCCTGCAACACAGAGTTTAGGGTACTTAGCAAATATATACCCTGTAGCTAGTTATTCCTACTGCTGAGAGAAGAGATTGGAATCTTCCAATACTAAGAAACACTGTCGCTTTTCCTGTGTAAAAGGGCACACAGCTCATACTCCACAGAACTCTGAATGATTTGGAGACTTCAGCTGTTCAACTGCACTCCACAAATTTGCACAGGCTAAGCATTAAACTTCACTGCTTGGTCTTCATTGTGCCTCTGTTTTTAAGAGACAACCGACTCAGTGAATTGTGCCTTGCCTAAGCCGGCATCCCTCACAAAGGAAAGCTGCTGCTGCTGAGCTCTAGCTGAACTCTTCACATGGTACACCCATGGCTACCAATACAGATAGGAAGAGGATCATTAGCACCTGCAGGCAATATGCTATGAAGTGCTTACTGCCACCATAGGATACATGTAACTTAACTCATTTTTATAAAGACGTCCCCCCCAGTAAAGAACTTATAAATAACTAAGATTATAGGTAAAATTATATTAACCAGTGATTTTTGTTATTGAGATAGAGAGAATGCTCTGCATTTCAACTGAAAATGTAAAGATAGATATTCCTCATATCTAATTCGTTATGAATTAATTCTACTTCCATTGTATATATTAATCTTAGCACCTGACCACTGCAGAATTGCAAAGTTAATCTTTAACTCCTTTTTAAAAAAAATCACTTATATTCATTTTATGGTTGAATGTTTAGTCTACACATATGTACCATGTACATGCCTGGTAAACTTAGAGCCCAGAAAAAGACATAAGATCCCCTGTAATTGGAGTCACCAGATGGTTGTGTGCCACCATGTGGATTCTGGGAATAAAACCTGGGTCCTCTGGTAGAGAAGCAAGTACTCTTAACTGCTGAACTGTCTCTCCAGATCTATTATTTTGACTCTAATTTTTAAATTAAAATTCTTTTTATGCTTTTATTTTAAAATTGTGAGTATTCTTGTGTGTCTGTGTGCAGGTGACTGCAATGCCTGTGGAGGTCTGGGGTAGCTGCCAGATATTATCGCTGGGAACTGAACTTGGGTCCTCTGAAAGAGCTGCACATGTTCTTAACAGTGGAACGGAGCCAGCTCTCTAGACACTATCTTCAACTCCTTGAGATCAGTGGAAAACATACTTGAATCTGGTTTTATGGATTAGAATGTTATGTAATGCCAATAGACGAAGCCACAAAATACTTGAGCACAAAATACTAAATTTTTACAGGAAAATATAATTATATTTCACCTATAAGATATATAAAACGGTATATATGATGATTAAAGACTCAATATATATTCATGATTCTTTACTATCAAATACGAATCTTCATATTATAAAATGACATTAAAAAGACAACATTAAAAGAAAAGCAACTTATACACATTGATCCTTTAAAGAACCAAGTTTTTGATGAAAAGGTATAATGAGCTTGTATTGATTAACCAATGCAAATATGTCGTCAGATAAAATGGGAAGGATAAACAGCACAGAAAGAGAGAGCATGCAGGTGGAAGGAGAACCCACTGATTCTGGCATCTACATGCATCCTGTGTCATGCTTGTCTATCCCTCTTTACATCCCTCCTTCTCTCCCCTCCCCCTTACAAACAAATGCGGGGGGGGTAGGGGGGCACAGAAACAGAGAAATAGGAGGGGAACTTGTCAGGAAGAAGGGCTCTGGTTAAATACACCTTCTCTGACACCTTCCCTTAACGGCAAGACCAATATATTCCTTGTGTCATCATCTGCATCAGGCTTGAGTTTCTATAGCTACAAAATGAAGGCATTGAACTTCACTGCTGAAGTACCATGATGCTGAGATCATTTGGTGAGAAAGTGAAAAAGTAGTACTTCTTACAGTTAGGTGTCTCAGAAGACCTCTGGGTACTCCAGGGCATCGATCTATCAGGAGGGTGGTTGGAGTATCCTTAAGAGAGCATTTTTTGCTCTGTTATTCTTTTCTCTTGTGCATAATTTTGTGGTAAGAAGTATGTATATTCACATTTTCCCATTATATTCTAAGTTCACCCAAACATGCAAATGTATCTCTTTAATAATAAACAGCATTGTTTCGTGGAAGTACCTTTCCTGTTTACAAAATCCTTTTGTTGTCATCATGGCCATTAAAATTCTCTCCCATCTATGAACATCTATGTAATAACTTTATTATCTTGTACCATAGTTAATACAAAGATAATTTTCCCTTCAAGCTTATAAAGGTAGAAACAACGAGCATTAAGTGACCTGCAGAATTTGATGGAAACATTAAGTGCTCCATTAAAAAAAAATGCCAAATCAGTGGTATGTTAATTATTAATGCCAAAGACAGCTGACAGAGATGAAAGCAAGAGTGAGGAATGCTGGAATTGGGAATGAAACCTTTTTAATCTTAATGTTCCCAGATTATTCCCTTATTCATTATTAATTGAATAGAATTCAAGTCTTAATGTTGAAAACTATCAAAGCTGCTCATTTAATCAAGCATAATTTTAACAATTTTTTTCCAAGGAGCTCAAGCTTAGGAGGAAAAAAAACCAAGAACAACAAACAGAAGAAATGTTTTTCCAGCAGACAAAATGTACAGCATGATAAAGAGACAGTTAATCAAGTGATGAAGGAGACAAAGGTCCCAGTCTTCTTTATACTAATTCTTAAATTCACTGTGGAGGAATCACAGTATTCATCATAAAACGAGTCAGCTCCAAAACTAAGTTTACATGTAAAAATAACCTCACCAACTGAAGAGAAGTGTCTAGTGCCATCATTCTAACATGTTAAAGCCAAGAAAGAGGAAAAAGAGGACGGAGTTAATGGAACCCACAGGCTACTGATGTGGCAGTTTATCAAACGTAGCTGTAATGAAAGATAAATAATACAGGCAATTCACACTTCATGAAAGGATAAAAGTGTCAGTGTGTAGGCACTAGTTTTACTGCAGGCCGTAATCAGCAAGTAAACGAAAGTGCAATGTCTAAAAAGTTTACAGCCTTCTATGAAGGCCTCCTCTTGTCAGGTATTGATTTAAGTATTCACACAACTTCCTTGGGATTAAACAAATTGAGTGTTTGTGAACTTAGAGGACATGTTCTATTTCTTACAGCCAAAGCTGCCTCAAGCTAAGTGCTGAGTTGCTTCTATCACATATATTTAAGAAAGGAGGAGATGGCGAAATGGCCTCTTACACAATGATCTTCTTCTTGAATAGAGGGCAGTCCAACGTGAATGTCTCATACTCCCCACCTTCTCCACATATGTGGACACCATACTTCTTGGAAAGCTGAGAATCAGGGGAAGCAAAGAAAAAGAAAAATTAAAATGACAACTTCAAAACACTCATTTATCAGGCTATTCTCTCCTGAAAACCAGTGCAGGATACCGGTTTGAAAACATTTGAAACAAGGCAAAATTTTTCATTACAATGATAAAACTTAAAGTAAAGATAAATTTTAGCATGGAAGCTCACTTTAAAGGCAGCTAAGTCACTATGAGAAAAGACAGAGTCTAACTATATGTCTCCTGCCTTTTGACTTGGAAGAAAAAATGTTGTTATAAGAGATTTTACCAGACAAAGAAATTCAAAATCTTTTCTTAGGCCTATGATCACATACATTATGCTCAGGGCTGTTATCTTTAGGAATATTATAGGTTACTAAAAAACAGTGAACTTCTAAAGGCACAGAAAGTCTTTAAAAGGTCTTAAGTCTTGTGAGGTTCAGTTTACAAAGCTGCCTAATAAAATCTGAAGTTTAAAAAAAAAGCAAGCAAGCAACCAAAAGAAAACAGTTCAAAAAACAAAAACAACAAAAGAAAGAAACAAAAAGCCCTGCCTCATTTGTCTTAACTCTAAGCCACACTATGTAATGACCTTGATACTGAGTGGAAACTGCTCGTGGGTACACAGTAGGTGATCCCTTGCACAGGCGCTCACTGATCCTGATTTTCAGATTCTCTGTGGAGGTTTTGTCCTCACAACTCCATGCTTCCTTGATTCAGAATGGAATAGCTTTCCCTGCTCATAGTTGCTACAAGTCCAAATCATTATAGCTCCAAGTAGAGAGATACCATTGTGTCAACGATGTGGCGCTTCCTAAGTCTTCAGCTTTACCTGCTGGTTACAAGCTTACTTGATAACTTTTGTAGTTGTGCTACTATTCTGACTGTGTGGCTTAAGAATGGATCTATGAACACTCTACTTCTCCCACTGAGAGTCAGAAATAATGTGAATGACACTGTAAACCCAAACAGCGAGGGAGAGTGTGAGAAGAACTGGATAATGTTTTTTATAACAGCTACAATGGGCGAAATAGATAAACTTTTGCCTGGGGTATAAAGCAGAGACTTGGCAAGTCCAAATTATGAGAGGTGGTCCCTATGGGGCCAAATAATGGGACAAGACTGCTTTGCCATACTAAACTAAATTAAATTAATATCTTCTCTGCAATAAAAACCGCACAGCAACAATAATGGGATATGGATTTCAGGGTATTTATTTTTTCTGCACTTAAGTGTTCTACTGATTTTCCAACAACTTTCTACCATGGGCCTTCTAATTTCATCTTTCTGACTCACTGGACAGTCTATGTGGAGTGTGTATGTGATCAATATTTAGCTTGTCTGTTTTGGCAAATGTCTCACTGGAACTCTTGTGTTGTTTTTGTAATACAAAGCATAACTGGAGTGTTCCAGTCTGCAGCTACTACATCCTATAGATGTGGTTCTGTTAGTCCCTTATAAAGGTAATGAAAGTGGCTACGTCAATTCAACATTTGCTTTTAAGAGGTGCACACTGGTATCTGTATGAGCTCTGAAATATTCTTAGCTTATACACAATATAATTAATATTTGTTTTGCTCATCAATCACTCTTCAACTGGTATTTATGGAACACTTTGGAGACATGAAAAAGCTAAACATTAAGAGAATATCTTTAGTTCTTATAATTCACTAAATATAATTCATTCGACACTGTAGTACCACAAAATAATGATGAAGCATTGACAGGCTCACACCAACCAGCATTTAGAGTATCTTTTCCTCCTCTATTACTAATTCACCAGTATGGAAATATAGGTTTCCAGCCAATAAATTTGGTTAAAGGCCCCTATGGCTTCTAGGATAGAGAAATCAATAAGCATTCTTATTGAATCCTGATATCTTTGTTGTTTTTTAAGCTCAGTTAGCTTCATGCTATAGCATATTTAAGTGACCCCCAAATGTCAGCTCTCAGGTTCTTGATAACATCATGGGATCTTCTTCAGAAGTGAAAGTTCATCATATCTGCTTTGTTCAGTGAACTGGCAGTCTCTGGAACACAAGACTCTTACAGTATGACAGCAAGAAACATGCACAGGATAGATAATGTTGCTTTTCCAAAAGTTTTGGTCTGGGAAGTATTCCTTCCACAAAAGTATTCATGGTGCATACTTTTTTTTTGTTTTGTTTTTTTGTTTTTTTTTGAGACAGGGTTTCTCTGTGTAGCCCTGGATGTCCTGGAACTCACTCTGTAGACCAGGCTGGCCCCGAACTCAGAGATCCGCCTGCCTCAGCCTCCCAAGTGCTGGGATTAAAGGCATGCGCCACCACTGCCCGGCTCATAGTGCATACTTTTAATTTATTTTTTTAAGACTTGTAAATCAACATTACCAATGTTTATACTGTTCCCACTAAGCAGCAACAGTTCTCACACATACATCTCTATTCCATGTCTGGCTGTGCTTTAAAACTGGGACTTTCATCTGTTATACTCAATTACTCCTCGATAAAATTCTGTCAGCATTATTTTAAGGAAAGCACTGAAAATATTTTTTTAGCTTAGATTCACGCTGAAATTATATTATTCTTTTTCATATTTTAAAGATTTACTTTTTTCCTTTTCTTTATATTCTTTCCAATTCAATGTGAATAAAATAATGTTCATAGCCCCCTTGCCACAATTTTCTGTATACAACAATGCACAGAGGCTTGGAATCCTGGCATAGAGTATAACTCTGTGCTTTTGTTTTACCTACACTTAACTTTCTAAAGTACATTAATTCCTTATTGACTCAACAGCTCAGATGCTTGTAGTTTCCTCAGAACTTTCTAGTTGCAGATTCCATTATGTCCAGAAGACCACGAGCTTTATACAAAACACCACAATTTCATTTTATAAATGATATTTTAATATATAATTTAATATTGCATAGATTGATTCAGAAGATTTACTTATTTATTGGGTATCTACTACTACTACTGTTTAGATATTGAGGTTAGTAATGTGAGCAGACAAATACATCCTACAAAGAACAGCATACTGTCTACCTGTCTGTTCGGGTTCTTCCCTGTGCGTGTATATGATGTTCCCTTCCTCCAGGTATAGTGAGGGCACATCTGCAATGGAAGTCTCATACTTACATTAGAGGAAGGTCAAAGTACTCCTTCATTGTCTGCTCCAGGGAGAATACCAAAGGTCAGAGTGACCTTCCTGCTTTAGCTCTGCTCAAATGTCAAAGTACCTGGTTTTGAGACATCAATTTTGAATGCCATCAACATGACTGATTAATGGAATGGATACCTAGTAAGGAAAGCCCCCACCTGTCTATGTTGGAAACTGGGTGGGTGGAAGTCTACTCACGGCTCACAGTTTGTTGCCAGGACCCAACTCATCTGTAGTGTTCTAACTGATGTGGCCTGTAACACTGTTCACTTCTCATGTCTCTCTGATAGCCTTCCATGGGCTTCCACCTTACTATATCTGTGAAGACACTCCTTCTCTACTGCCGTTCATAGGCATAGATACCCCATTATGGCTCTTTGTAGTATACTCTTTTGTCTTATGCATGAATCTCCTGGCTTCTGCCATCACCAAAGGATGGTGTTCTCCTGCTAATACTGCTGTTTATACTACTTGCTCTACTGCTGAGATGATGCTATTCTTATTTAGTTATACCTCAAAATGACTCATGAGCAGAATGTGTTGCATGCTCTGAAATCAGTGAGACTTAGAAGTAACTTCTATTGCTGATATTTCCAGTCATGTGATCTTGAAAAAGCCCTCCTCAGAAGTGAATCTTCATCTGAAAATGAAACACTAATACTATCATCCTCATATGTTTGTCAGATAATTAACTAGTCATACATAAAGACCACTCAGCACATGGTATGCAGTCAGTATTCAGATAACTTAACTCACAGCTCAACTGGCAGAGAAAATAGAATCCACATAGTGACCAGAGGGACAGCAGCATTCCACAACTGCTTCATACAGAGAGCTGAAGCACACAAGGAGTTAGACATTTTCTGACTCTGTGAGGTACGCCGATAACAAATCGTAGCCCTTTGACTGACCATCTTGACTGAGCTACAATCTCATTGGTTAAAAACATCTGCATTCAGGTTATATGTTATGACATAAAATCCAGTCTGTTTAGAAATCAGGTTTGTCTTGTTTTTCTTTAAACTCCTCTGCCTTCTACAGTAACAAGTGCTTCTGATTTCCTTCATTGTGTGTGAGTGATTGTTGATTTTTCCCAGCCTGTGGAAAGTTTGATGCCAATGTCATTTTCATCTTCCCATCACAATATTTCCATGTAGTTCCATCTCACATCTGTTTCCTGTAACACTTTTATGGGCTTGATTTCCAATTTTTTCACTCCTAATCTATGAATACTGCTGCTAGACTATATTTCCTCAGCTTTCTCTAATAGCATGGATTGCAGTTGAAGAGCCCTCTAAATCTTATTATTTCTTATCCTAAATTGCCTGGCCTATCCCTACAGGCCCTTCAAGACTGGTCCCTCCATTCTCTGTTCACCTTTTCCTTACTGGTCTATCAACACACATTTAATTTCATTTAGATCAAGTTTCTTCTTGTCTCTGCATGTGCTAATGAATCTTCATTCATATTGATTTACTTTGTGGCCACTGCCCAGGTAAATTTGCCCCATCATTCAAATTTGTTTAAGATGTCTCAGCAGCATGCCCACCTACTCCATCCAGCAGCTAGGAACCCCGCTGCTTTTCCCATGCAGATTATTAGGGCTTTTCTTCCCTCATTTCCCCAATTTCTCCCCTTTTCTTTCTCAAAGGAAACATTAAAAATGCCAAGCATTCAATTTATTTTCTTCCTATTTCAGAAGTTTGCACAGAACTGGGAACATAGATGGATTCTGAAAATACTTAATATTCAATTCTACAAGTATAATATGACAATGGAGATCAAAAGTTCCCCTGCATAAACATTCAGAAAATCGTGAGGGCTACAAATTGGGACACTTTGGAACTAACATGAAACAATTTTATTATTGCTTCTCTTTAAATACAGTAAACAGGTACTTCTTTCCCCATCCCCCCACTGGATATTTTCTTTATTTACATTTCAAATGTTATCCCCTTTCCCGGGTTTCCCCCCAGGAAACCCCCTATCCCTTCCCCCTCTCCCTGCTTTTATGAAGGTGTTCCCCACTCATCCACTCAATCACTCCTGCCTCCCCACCCTTGAATTCCCCTACACTGGGGCATTGAGCCTTCACAGGACCAAGGGCCTCCACTCCTATATGCAGCTGGAGCCATGGGTCCCTCCATGTATACTCTTTGGTGGGTGTTTTAGACCCTGGAAGCTCTGGGGGATCTGGTTGGTTGATATTGTTGTTCTTCCTACGGGGTTGCAAACCTCTTTAGCTCCTTCAGTCCTTTCTCTAGCTCCTCCATTGGGGACCCAGTCCTCAGTCCAATGGTTGGCTGCGAGCACCCGCCTCAATCAAGTACTTCTGCTACTGACAAACTACTATTAATAATGGTTTTCTCTTTCTCAAAGTCTTCATTTATATCTCATTGTTTAGGTAATTAATCCTCAATTCAGTATTTGAAACTTTTTAATATCTGGTTTTAATCTCCCCAAAAGCTTTCTCGGCAAGACAAACACTAAAGGAAGGAGGATAACGTCTGGAAACCTGTCTCTTCTGTCTTCTGTCTTTGTAGAAACTCAGTATCTGAAAGTGTTTCATATTTCAGATTTTGAAATCTTTGAACATACATAATAGGATATTCTGGAGAAAGCCCTAAATTTTATATAAAATCTACAAAGTTTCATATACATATTAATTTATGTATTGATTATACACATAGCCTTTATGGCATTTTTGTGTATTATACAAACACGACTCTTCTATAAACCTGAGTTTTGTTTAAGATCTCTCAGCAGCTACCGGTGGCCCTACTCCATCTAGTACCGTCTACCTGTGCTTACATTAGGAACCAAGTTGCTTAATCTGGTGTAGATTTTTAGGGCCTTTCTTCCCCCATTTCTTCCCTTATTTTAATTCTAATTAAAATGCCAAGCAATTCTCAGGTTTATCTATAACCAACATCCTGACACTTCCTAAAACTTTATGTGTATTTTATTTTATTTTTTATAGAAAATTACCTTTTAAAATAGAAACACACAATTAGACATATTAAAGGGGTATGGTAATATTTCAAAATAAGTATATATCATATAATATTTTAATTATGGTAAACATACCTTTCTTTTCAATTAGTTACATTTTTATGTAAAGCATTCAAATTCCTTCCTTTCAGGCTCATGAACAGCACAGTACTATTATTTATAGCCACTCTATTTAATTGGCCTTTCTTCAGTCCTTCAACTTATAATATCAAAATTTAGAGAGGATTTACAAGAAGTTTTTTTGTCAAAGCCACAGTCTCTCATTTCTTTTCTTTCACTTTCTAGAAGTGACTTCATTATATATCAGTATTGCTTTGGGAGAGACGGAAGGTAATTTCAATCTGGTGGCAGTGACTAGATATGACTGCAAAAACAACCATGGCCATCAACGGTTGGAAGAGGATGCCAACTGAACACAGGAAGCAACCAGATGTAAACTCAAATGACACCAATTTCTCTAGAACCAAACATAATTTGTCATAACTATATACTCATTTCCTTTCCCTTTTAATCTTTATTGTCTGGTTGTCACATAACAGGTGCTTAGTTTTGTTAATCAGAAGGAATTAATATTTTAGGGACCTTTATGCATTTGGTATATTTTGATAAACCACAAAACAATCAACTACAAACAATTCTAAAACCAGTATGAAACCCATAAAGCTATTGTGGAGTGTAGCAGCTCATGGCACTGTGCTGTCCCTGACAACACCCAGAGACAAGAACAGGAACTGAGCTATAAGACAGGATACTTCGTGGAGCTCTGCTCTCCTCAGAAACAGTTACTGTCTATCTACATCTTGACTGCAGGTTTAAAACCTTCTCACATTCTAACAGTCACACTGCTTCAGTTATTGATGCTGTATCAAACACAGCATCTGCGGCCAATCTCCAATACAAATCAATAGAATGACCAGAAGGGAATGATGAAGACAAATATTTTAGCATGTAGAACACATGTAGGACTAGACAGTGGTAGGATGACAGAGGCTATTTGAAATGTTGGGATAATTAATCCCTTTGCTTCTTGGCCAGTCTGTTCATTTTTGTTAAGAAGACTAGATTCAACAGCCTCCAGAAGTTTCCACTCCTGAGTCTGTGTCTAAGGTAGACAGGCTGTGGGTGCTTCAGATGTGGTACATGCAGCACACACTGTCCGTGATAACAGGAACACAGGTCCTCAGAGCACTTCAGTATGATCTCACTCACTCTTGCAACTACAAACTCATTCCAGTTTGGGTTATTTTATTTTAAACACACTTCTATACACACTATGAAGTTTTAACCTTTCACCAGTCATAAAATGAAAGTATCTAAATTTCTCTGAAATACAAATCAATCTTTGAGTCATTATACCATGGTGCTACTTTCTTCATTTAGATGGTGAAATTTTAAAGAGCAACATGAGTTCTTACCTCTAAAAGATAAGGCTCCATTTCAACCAGGGTTTTCCCAAGATGCTTATCAGGATCTAAGCCTGTCAAGAAAGGTGAATTTTTTCTAGGTAAGTGTCAGCTTAGCACTGTAAAGGCATATTTCCTTCCCTTGACCCCTCCTCACCCAGGAAAGCAATGTATATATATTTTAAGTTGTTTTGATGTTAATGTAAAAGCTTACTTTGCCAGAATTTACTTCCCTGTTTCCTAGGGATAGCTGCTTTCTTGCTCCTAAAAATCAGTTTTACTTTATTACAGTTGTGTCAGTAGGCAGATTCTTCCCTCAGTTTGGCTTTCTCAATTCGGGAATTGTAAAGAGGATGAAACAGTACAATCTGACAGAAAGGAAATGCAATGTGTGCTTACAGTCAGGAGCCTAGCATGGCTGCCCTCCCAGAGGCCCAACAAGCAGCTGACTGAGACAGACACTGATACTAGCACCCAATCAAATGAATGAATGTGGGGACTCCTGTGGTTGAATTAGGGAAAGGCTGGAAAAAGCTGAGAAGGAGGGCGACCCCATAGGAAGACCAGTAGTCTCCTATGAACCTCTGAGATCTCAGACACTGAGCCACTAACCAGGCAGCATACACCAGCTGATATGAGGCCTCCAACATATACAGCAGAGGACTGCCAGGTCTGGCCATAGTGAGAGAAGATGCACCTAACCCTTGAGAGACTTGAGGCCATGCCCCTGGGAAGGGGGGCAATGACTGGATTTTAAAAAATAAAAGTAATTAAAATAAAAAGAAATATAAAACCTCAGCATTTTACTTGTGGTTTATTTAAAGACAATAGTGTGATTTTCCTGTCTTATACTTATTTTATTTTAACTTTAAATGCAATTATAAAATAAGAATAGAAAAGAGAATAAACTGTTACACTTATAAAATTAACTCAGTTAATAGTTCAATATGGATACACTCATATTATGAAATTAAGTCATAGCTGCTCAAAACAATGTGTCTATTTCAATAGAGTATAATTCTTTACCAAAAATATCCCAATTTTAGTAGTTAAAGTGTCTCAATTCAATATGGCAGTCTAGGCATTTTTCTGCATAGATCTTTCTACATTAAACACTGGATATAGTAATCCTTATGTCAGGCCAATATGTTGCTCTCAGTAATGCCTACTAGGCTGCTCCTGCAGCCTGGAAGAGAACCATCTGAGTGCATTCTGCATTTGCTTCATTTCTTCTGTTCATTAGAAAGTGACAAGTCATTAGGGACCTCATGATTACTACCTAGATGAGATGCATTTCAGGTTGTTTCTAGAAAACATTTCTTGGATAACAGCCAGAGACCTCTAGGGATTGAAGATACTGTCCTTGAGAAGGCAATGGCCTAAGCCACTTGTATAATTGATGTCTTTAAATCAGCCCAGACTTTCCTACAGAGGTATTATTTGTTGTGAACATAGTAGGAAGACCACCTGTCCTATTAACCATAATATTCAGATACAAAAGAGCTCCCAATAAAGTCTTAATTCTTAGAGCACCAATGACTCCATAATTAATAACATGCAAATGAAAACCTAATATAATTGAATTCTTAATTTTCTTATAGTTTCACATATTTTTCTAAATTTTTTATTTTCAAAGCATTTTATCATTGCATGAACAATCTGGATATAGTTTACTTTTGATCATGAAGAATGGGTTTAAAAACAAATGTCTGGTAAAATGGATCCCCTTAAATGTATAAAGTTATTTTCTAATTTTCAATAAATTTGCAGCTATAAGATTTCCATCTTTCTGTTTTTTATTTTAATTTTGGGTTTAAAACTGGTTTAAATTTTGGGTTTAAGATTTTCTCTTATTGAAAATAGATTATTTTCTTACATAATATATCCTGATTATGGTTTCCCCTTCTCTACTCCTTCTAGGAATTTCTAACTGGATGTTATACACAGAGAATTCTGATATTCAAGAACATTTATAATTGAGAATTGAAGTGCAGGGTCAGATTAGTATCAATAAATTAATTTATCACTGGACTTCTTTAGAAGTTTTTAAAATAATCAAGTCAATGTTTGAGTTGAAATTAAACACAAATCTTGGAAGGTCTGAATCATTTCTTAATTTAACTTCTTTGCTTTACTGGAAGAAGAATCCATTTACACTTCTAGTGGCAACTAAAGAACAGTCCTGAAATACAGTTTTATTTATGTTAAAATGATTCTATTATGTGGAACTATTTGAAAGTATATGAATAACAAGAACTTGGTAATGTTCACTTCCATATCATACAGTCAATTATTTAAAAAATTAAGTAATTATTTAATTAGCAATGCACCCGGTCTAAAAGGTACAATATTCTCTTTCTTAAGAAATAGAACAGAACAAAGCCAAACAAAACAATACCTATATTCAACACAGTGTCAGTGCAATTTGAAGCATCTTTGTGATTACATGTCTTTTGCTTCTCTCTGTAAAGCTACATTACATTAAACACCTTGAGAGCATTATGAAGAAACCAGAAGTGCTCATGGGCTCTTTTAATGCAAACTTTATTCAAAAGCTTCAATTCATCATACTCTGTCTGAGAGACCTCTCTTCTTCAGACTCATTCTACTTAATGACTGTTATCTAGTGAAATCTAGGTCGTGAATATATGCTAACTGTGCCTCTCTTTAATCTCACAGAATCTTTTTAGTTTATCTTCTCAAATAGCCAGTTATGGAATGCCATCTCAATGTATTCATGTCTCCTAAGAATTTCATTCATTGAGCCATTTATTAATGTTGATATAAATAGTGATATAAAGAAATAAAATATTAACAAAGAAGATGACAGTCCAGAGGATACAGGATGTCGTTTCATTTCAAGAATGCTTTAATTCACAGGCATGAGATTTTAAGTTACTAACAAGATTTTCTTCAAAGTACAGGAAAAGATTGACTATAAATTCTGACATCTAACCATTTAATCACATCGTGCAGACATTCCTTGATAGAAGATGGGTGGGTGGATAAACCCACAACAAGACCTAGGCACTGAAGAGCTCCATGCAGAATTAAGAAATTAATTAGGAGGAAGAACTATAATTTGCAGAACTGACATCCATTTTACTTTAGTTGCATGTACCAATGGGAAACGATTACAATTCAATTAAAATATTCAATTTTATTACTTTACTGACTGACCTTGAAGTTAATGCCTGCTTTATTTAATTGCATCATCTATGAATAAATGTTAACCCTAAAATGTTATGCCCCATTATTTTCAATGCAGTTTTCAACATCTCAACTGAATTATATCAGCTAATTTATTATATCCTGTCATGAAAGCAAGTGGAGGTTTATTTCTTCAGGACAGCCCTATATACGATGAGGGAAACATCACAAAATAGTTGATAATGCTGTTTTTTACAGAGTCTAGTGAGATGAATTGTGTCACCATCTTAACTTCAGCAGTGTACACTTTTACTGTAAAATCACTATTGATATTAGAAAAGACATAATCAGTCTGAGAAGCAATTTTTGGCCAGCCTATAATTTTTTTTAATCTACTGCAGGCAGGAACTGAGAATCTATTATAACTTAACAATACACACACACACACACACACACACACAGAGGCACACATGCACAATCGCATACATACATATACACATGCACACACACACACAGATCTACGCACACATACACAGGCACACATACACACACAGAGACACAGGCACAGGCACATAGACACACTTGGTACATGTACCACATAGTTCCTTGATATCTCTGTCATACTCACTAGTTACCAGAACAAGTAATCCTACATTGCAAAGTTTACTTGCTTTTAAATAAATGAAGCATTTAGTTGTTCCCAGACTCAAACCCTAAACCATTATAAAATATTTGCGCATTGTGGAAATGAAATGGAATGAGTTTTGTTAAGAACTACAGACAGGAAGAAAGGCTGGTTGTATGAGCTCTAAGATGAGAATGAGCTGACATGTGAAATCCTAGAGTCAGTCAAGGACTTCACTTCAACATTTTACCTTCCATTCTTCTAATTAGGCCACCAAATGCTTAACTATCTCATTCACTGTGTCAAGGCTTGTCTCGATACCAGCCTTCTTTCTTAAATCTATAACCTGAGATTTTATATCATAAAGTAGACTCATTCTTATGGAATCACTTTAAAATTTATGGCATATATGAAATGAATGGCTAGTAAATCACATTGAGTATAATTGTGCAGTTATAATAATCAATACTTACTAGCAATGGACCAAAATTTTCTCTTTTCTACTTTAAAACTATTGTGCAATTCTTTCCATGAAAAGAACAAATAAAAAGTGAAATATACATGTATAACACAAAGACGTATAGTAGAAATATTTCTTTAAGAAATACCTGCCTAAGTGTTCTCATTAGCTTTAAGAGTGGGACTACTAAAACCTGCAAACCTGGTAAATTTAGAGACGTGAGAAAGAAAAGAGCTAAGAATAGAGATACAAAAAAAGGGGGGGTCCTTATTAGTTTAGTTTTTTTAAAAATTAATTTTTTATTGAGTATTTTATTTACATTTTAGATGTTATCCCCTTCCCCCCCGAAACTCCCTATCCCATCCCCCCTCCTGTTTCTATGAGGGTGTCCCCCCACCCACCCACCCACTTCCACCTCCCTGCCCTTAAATTCTCCCACACTGGGGCATCCAGCCTTCATGGGACCAAGGACCTCTTCTCCCACCTATGCCAGACAAGGCCATTCTCCCTTACATATACAGCTGAGGACATGGGTCCCTCCCTATGTGCTCCCAGGCTGGGAGCTCTGGTTGGTATTGTTGCTCTCCCCATGGGGCTGCAAACTTCTTCAGCTCTTTCAGTCTTCTCTCTAACTCCTCCATTGGGGACTCTGCAATCAGTTCAATGGTTGGCTGTGAGCATCTGCCTCTGTATGTCAAGCTCTGGCCGAGCCTCTAAGGAGACAGCTATACCAGGCTCCAGTCAGCATGCACTTCCTGACATCCATATCACTGCTCCACCCATGTGCAGTCACCAAAGGCAGACGCTGATAAGTTTAGTGTTTACTGTGAGAGTTTATA